ACACACACACACACACACACACACACACACACACACACACACAAACACACACACGCACACACACACACACACATTAATTCCAAACCTTTCAGCGCTCACTTGCGCTCCATATATAACCAACGCAAACGGCTGGCTGAGACAAAAAGAGTAATAGTGAAAGTATGTTGCTGTGACCGAGCCTGGAGCGGAGCAACTCCCTACACCATAGATCTCCATTAAACAGCCAATCACTATCAAGGCCAAACTCTATCTCCTCTCCTCCGCTTCAGTTTATACCTCAGAATAAATCCACTGTCACGCAGTTTGTTAAAAGAGTGAGGTTTCCAAACACTTTAACAGCCCGTGAAGCGGACGAGTCATTTCTAAGATGCAAAATCACTCAGGCATTCTTTGTGTCTTTATTAAATATTTGACAGATATTCTCTTCAGGTCGGATTCAATTATATTTAAACAGAGAGATTAATGGAAGAATTGGAAAATGTAGGCAAAGCAATTAGGAACAACATGGGAGCTTTATGGGAAATGTGATCGACGGCACAGAATGACACGCAACAGATGTACAGCGCTGTGTGCCGCACTTCACTCAGAGGCAGACAGAGGGAGAGACTGATACAGGGAGCAAATGAGCAAAGGAGAGGTAGATGGAGCGCAAGAGAGGTAGAGATAAGAGATGGTGTCAAACATTGTGAAAGAGAGCATGTAAATGAGACAGAGAAGAAGAAGAAACAAAGAGGAGGCAGCACCGAGAAATAGTGGCAAAATAACTGAGTGAAGGAAAAGAGAGATTCAGATGACAGTCATATCAAGCAGGCTGAGGGGGCAACATTTCAATTCTGAGAGCTGCCCCCCAGTCTGTCTGCCACTCCCTGAAGACGGGAAGAAGAGACTGGAAAAGAGAGAAGAGGGGGAGAAAGAGAAAGAGTGCTTACCTCTGCTTTGACTTCTTCCACCAGCCTCGCCTGTGACCACACGGCGCTCCTTTCATACAGCCACTGAACGACACAGAAGAAGGGAAAGCAGTGAGCCGGGGGCAAGTGATCGGGACAGAGTGGAATGCTTTGCCGAGGCAGAGAGCGAGAGAGAGAGAGAGAGAGAGAGAGAGAGAGAGAGAGAGAGAGAAAGAGAGCAAAGCAGGAAGGGGAGGGTGAGAGGAGAGGGAGGAGGTGGGAGCACGATCACTTGTTCCTCTGACGGAAACTCGCAAATTGACTCCGGAGGATGACAGAAAGGAGGAAGAGTGGAGGAGAAGATAAATAAGAGGAGAGGAGGAAGAAGAAGAAGAAGAAGAAAAAAAATCCCTCAATAACTAGCAACTTAAGGACAGACAGTCAAGTCCTCTACACATCCACTCCTCCACCATCACACACAACACACACACACACACACACACGAAGAGTCATGCATGCAAACACACACCTACGCACAGAGCGCAGCGAGCAGGCACAAACACAGAGCACTTACTCTCTAACCTTATTAAGGCTTTCAGCAGAGCTCCTGCTCGATTGAAGTGAATCACATATCGGAGAGATGACGGTGGGGGTTGTGCGTAAGAGGGTGTGTGTTTGTTGGGGGGAAATAAGGACACAGTCGGGAGACAGGCAGGGATTGCATGGAAGCAAGGAGTTTGTAATGTCACACACACACACACGAGAGATGCAGCGTCATAATTATACAATCTAGGATACACACTCCACACACGTTCCCACGCACACCCATGCAGCGATTCAATGCGATGCTGTTAGCGTTACCATAGCCACACACAACCTTCAATACTATAACTGCGTGCCTGAGTACTCCTCTCTGAGTATTATACAAGTACTCTGGCAGAAATAGCATGAAGGTGTATGTAGAAGCCAAGGAGATGGGAGGGGGAGAGGCAGACACACGGAGGTATAGAGAGAAGGGAGGTGTTAGAGTGGGCTGTATCAAATGTAGTGAGTATTGAAGCAGTAAATTGGCATTGTGAAACCGGATACCACACATGGCTCTTTTGCTGCCTAGATCCCCACGACCATTCCCTGAATAGCGAGGCTTTTGTCTACCTAAAACTCTCTTGGTCCCGCGCCCCCATCTGTGTGGCGTCTCTCTAGTGAATAAATATCAGATTGCGTGTTCAGAAGTTACACCCCTCGCTCATAAACATGCATGTGAAGCGAGCCATATACAGTGGGTACGAAAAGTATTCAGACCCCTTTAAATTGTTCACTCTTTGTTTCATTGCAGCCATTTGCTAAAATCAAAAAAGTTCATTTTATTTCTCATTAATGTACACTCAGCACCCCATCTTGACAGAAAAAAACAGAAATGTAGAAATTTTTGCAAATTTATTAAAAAAGAAAAACTGAAATATCACATGGTCATAAGTATTCAGGCCCTTTGCTGTGACACTCATATTTAACTCACATGCTGTCCATTTCTTCTGAACCTCCTTGAGATGGTTCTACTCCTTCATTGGAGTCCAGCTGTGTTTAATTAAACTGATTGGACTTGATTAGGAAAGGCACACACCTGTCTATATAAGACCTTACAGCTCACAGTGCATGTCAGAGCAAATGAGAATCATGAGGTCCAAGGAACTGCCCAAGGAGCTCAGAGACAGAATTGTGGCAAGGCACAGATCTGGCCAAGCTTACAAAAGAATTTCTGCAGCACTCAAGGTTCCTAAGGGCACAGTGGCCTCCATAATCCTTAAATGGAAGAAGTTTGGGACGACCAGAACTCTTCCTAGACCTGGCCATCCAGCCAAACTGAGCAATCGTGGAAGAAGAGCCTTGGTGAGAGAGGTAAAGAAGAACCCAAAGATCACTGTGGCTGAGCTCCAGAGATGCAGTAGGGAGATGGGAGAAAGTTCCACAAAGTCAACTATCACTGCAGCCCTCCACCAGTCGGGGCTTTATGGCAGAGTGGCCCGACGGAAGCCTCTCCTCAGTGCAAGACATATGAAAGCCCGCATAGAGTTTGCCAAAAAACACATGAAGGACTCCCAGACTATGAGAAATAAGATTCTCTGGTCTGATGAGACCAAGATTGAACTTTTTGGCGTTAATTCTAAGCGGTATGTGTGGAGAAAACCAGGCACTGCTCATCACCTGCCCAATACAATCCCAACAGTGAAACATGGTGGTGGCAGCATCATGCTATGGGGGTGTTTTTCAGCTGCAGGGACAGGACGACTGGTTGCAATTGAAGGAAAGATGAATGCGGCCAAGTACAGAGATATCCTGGAAGAAAACCTCTTCCAGAGTGCTCTGGACCTCAGACTGGGCCGAAGGTTCACCTTCCAACAAGACAATGACCCTAAGCACACAGCTAAAATAACAAAGGAGTGGCTTCGGAACAACTCTGTGACCATTCTTGACTGGCCCAGCCAGAGCCCTGACCTAAACCCAATTGAGCATCTCTGGAGAGACCTGAAAATGGCTGTCCACCAACGTTCACCATCCAACCTGACGGAACTGGAGAGGATCTGCAAGGAAGAATGGCAGAGGATCCCCAAATCCAGGTGTGAAAAGGTTGTTGCATCATTCCCAAGAAGACTCATGGCTGTACTAGCTCAAAAGGGTGCTTCTACTCAATACTGAGTAAAGGGTCTGAATACTTATGACAATGTGATATTTCAGTTTTTCTTTTTTAATAAATTTGCAAAAACTTCTACATTTCTGTTTTTTTCTGTCAAGATGGGGTGCTGAGTGTACATTAATGAGAAATAAAATGAACTTTTTTGATTTTAGCAAATGGCTGCAATGAAACAGAGTGAAAAATTTAAAGGGGTCTGAATACTTTCCGTACCCACTGTATCTTCCTGAGACCGATACACAGATTGTTTAGTCTTTTTAGTTGAATTATTTATGGCTATTCTTCAAAATATAAATATAATAGATGTAATATATATAGTTTTGTATAAAAAAAACAATGAAAGACAATAAATACACCAGTTTTGGTATATTTATTAAAGTAACCCTTTTTAATACGTCACTTTGTTGAGTATGGACAGATTTTTTTTTTTTTTATAAAAAAAGCTATTTTCTTTATCTAAAAAGCCAAACTCATCATATTCAAACGTGTTTACCACCTTGAGGTAAGCCTGGAGGAACAGTAAATGTGTTTAAAGTGTTTAAATACCAGTTAAAGATGTTTAAACAACTATGTTCGCAAAAAAAAGGGATTTTATTGATAAACCAGGCAGTAAAAGACATTAAATGTTATAGGAGTTAGGAGAAGGTATCGGGCTGAAGGCTCTGGTGAATCAAGGGGAGCCTTTATTTAAACAAAGTCTCTCAGCCTAGATCCATCATCCCAAAGGGAGCGCTTACTCATCTAAACTCTGAGGTCCAAAATAGGTCGGCACCGGCCATCCCATTCCACATCTCTTACTGTGAATGTCACTGTTTATTATTAGGCCAAACCATTTCCTGCCTTTCTCCAATTCAAGCACATTGTCCAGCGATGGATTGGAGGCAGAGAGGAGAGTGAGAGAGGCAGAGAGAGACTTTAAAAATGTGTCTAGTGTACATAATGCACGAGCACTTGCATCTGTGAAAGGTTTCAATCGATCCGACTGATCTTATTAGCTGGTGACTCGCACATCAAACACAGGAAAAGAGCTTCTGCGAGAACACTCGAGCCGTCACCCAATCAGGTGTGAGAAAACAGCAGCCCCTCACACACGGTTCGTCCCACCCTCAGACCCCCCCCCCCCCCCCCAGTTACATCATCACATAATCTAGAAGGTGAAGATTCCCAGACAGCAACAGGAGTGCAGACACACAAAAATGCACATTCACACAGTGGTAATTAAGACCAGTTGCCATGGAGATGGGAGAATTGAAGAAGCTGTTAAAGTGGATTGATGGTGGGAGTGTGTGTGTGTGTGTGTGTGTGTGTGTGTGTCTGTGTGTGTGTGTGTATCTATGACCGTAGGTCTTTCTCTCAATTAGCGGGCAAAGCAGCACTGCTCACCTTGTCGAGATGCATCGCAGTCTGCTAACAACGGGGACGATAACGATCCAACAACACAACGATACAATAAACTGCAGCTCTGTCAAGAACTTAACAGCCAGCGATGCCTTACAGTTCATCATCAAGATGTCATCGCGATATCTTTAGCGAAGCCGATTTGAAAAACTTTCCTCAAGTTGAGCAACAAATATGCCATCATCATCATCATCATCATCATCGTCGTCGTCTCGCAGTTTCAAAACGCCTGCTGGCGAGTAGTCACACGTCATTTAAGCCGTAGTATTTATGTACTGAAAGCTATCTTCTAATATGAGACATAATTTCCATTATGAGAGCGTCATTACACAACTATTTACAGCTGGTAAACAGAGAGACAAATGTTCGGACGCTCCTGTCGTCCAAGAGCAAATGCTTGGAGCACACAAAACTTCCTGTATGTGGAACTACATGTTAAACCTGCTGGGTTTGAACTGCAACACAACATATTCACCTACATTGAAGTGTAGCTGATCAAATGATCTCAAAACCACATTGCAGATAAAGTCAGTATGTATAGTTCTTGGCATGTGGCTTTCATACCGACCCAGTCAGGCAGTTGAATGCCGTCACAGAAATGAAGTCCCAATGCACTTTAAGGATTGACAAAGAGGTAAAACTATGGCGGCTACAGTATATGGGAGTGGTCTGGATATCTTCAAGTAAGTCGTTTAAACAAAGCTGTTCAAACCCAAACTAGAAGAACCAAATCCCTTCCATAACCAGAAACCACTGAGTACTATAAAAAATATCACCCTGTGTAGGCATGTGCCAGGTATGAAAGGATCACACGTGTTAAATAAAAGGTACTTTGACTGCCAGCATCAATACTACAAAACAACAGCTGTGTGATCATTTGTTTTCATTACCTCATATGATAAAGAAACAATAAGGAGGAAGAACATAAATAAAGCAGATACTTGTTTTATAGCTAAACAGATGATGCATCTGAGCACAGTGGACAATAAAAAGCAACGTACAGACCAAACTTATTAACGGTCCAAAGCCAATAGTACTGAATTATTGCACTATTGTTATGCATAAGTTGTAATAATTGTATACATTACAGTCAAGTGGAAAGTTTAATTTCAGTCTAAATTGATTTAAGAGTTACATTTTTCTAAAGATATATTATAGAACATTATCAAATTCTATATTCTAATAAATAACGAAAGACAGATAGAAAGCGAGACTTTTCATACCTTCGGAATTCCCGGTCGATCAAGCCAGTCGGCGTAAATAGCACTGAGGGTGAGGCCTTTTCTGGAACACATTGGCACAAGTGTTAGTATTATTCCTATTATTATAGCAATGACTGTTATTGCCCAAGACAACCTATGAATAAATGGCTCTGGGAAAATATTGTTGGGCACATGGCGGACTTGAGTTTTAGGCCAACACCTTAAACAAAAAGAGGGGCACACCCACTGTCCCATACAAGGACAAGCAAACAGGCATGTACAGACAATGAAATAGGTTTGTAAGTATGCATTTACAGTAAGCATGCATGTGTACATTTGGGTGTGAGTGTGCCTCAGGAGAGGCTCAAGTGAACGCCGTGTACATGAAAACCACATACCATACACAGAATACAAATAGTGACAGAACTGGCTTGCAAAGACAAATTTGCACACAAACATTCCACAAGCACTCCGCAGTGTGTATGAAAAGTGTTACGTGTACAAAGTACTCAACAAGGCGAGGAGTAACTATAGTACACAGCATCACACTAAAATACTTTAGCCAGAAATATGTCTATTTCAGAAGTTAAGATACAATTTTGGAGCAACATAAATGCTGTATTTTCCAGTTTTTCATGACAGTGTGATGGTCATAACTTTTCTGCCTGTTGCCTTTTACTTCACAGGGTGAACAAAAACATATGATTGGTGGACGCCTCACCCCTTCATTGGAGCACTTGGAAAAAAGCTGACACCACCTCAACTTTGATGTGTAGCGTGTCACGCCCGTCACACAGTGACAAGTGTGTTGAAAAAGACTTGGCGTTCATACTCCACTATGTACTAGAAGAGCCAATCCCCCCCTTAAAGCACTAGTTTGCCCAGAAAGTGGTCACTAAAAATATCTTCAGTGACTTCACCACGAGGTCATTTCAGCTCTTGGCATTTGGTGTTGAACCGTAGAGAGAATGTGAAGACTAAACATCTGCCACATCAACAGTGAGGCACCATAAGGTAGGATTACATGGCATTATGAGAGCATAGTTACAGCAAACACAAGGGTAATACAGTTAATACACCACATGGCCTGTCAAATACTCTTTATAATAGCACTGGATAGAAATAAGCTTTATGTCTCACGAGAGCAGACAAGACGTGTATCTACCAGTTTTTTCACGTTGATCTTTGCATCTTTATTTCATTTTAATGGTGATAGATGAGAAAGAGTGACGGTGATGCTGGCAAACAGTAGTTTCTTATTAGCACAAATCAATGAATGCATTGATTTTTTTTTTGTTAAATGGGGGTTTATAGTTTTTATGTTAAGTCTTATAAATATTATGTTCCCCATTTAGTCTGGGGAATAAGCAGGATACATGACCCTGCACAAAGACCGGCCATGGCCCTCAACAGTGAGTGTCTATTCTTATCCTGAACCTTCTGGAGGGTTGTTTACTGAAAGAGGCATCGGATCCAAATATTGACTGTCCCCAACTCCCCCTGTTTAATTCAATCAATCTGTGCAAGTCCAGCAGAACACTCCACATGACAGAAAAGGCAAAAAGACAACATTCAGGGCAGACAAAAGGGCGCTGAGGAAAAGAAGGGTGAGAAACGAAGAGTTAAAAGGTAGGGAAACACAAAGTGAAAGACAGACGGGGAGAAAGAGAGGGACAGAGAGACAGGCGGAAGAAGAGGTTAATGAAGCAATCAGGAGAAATAGAGAAGTGAATGATTAAGCAAGCGCAGAGAGGGAGAAAATTAGAGAGGAGGAGAGCAGGAAGAGCAGTTATCCTTTTACACTTCAATTAATATGAGAGTGGATGAGACTTCTCTAACAGGATTGCTTTTGGGAGCTGTCGCTGGTCATGTTTCCACAGCAGGACCGAGAGGAGAGGCCAAATCAACACATGCTGATATATTTGACAGTAAATCTACAAATAAGTCACATCTGTTGAGATAAAACAAATTGTAATACTAAATTCAAACAGGAAATTGACGACTACCGTATCTTTAACGTGTCTGGAACTGGACACCAGGCGACCGATGCTTGAGCACAATCCAAAGTGATTTTAATGCGTCTAGACATTTTTCATTATTCATGAATTACACTGTAAGCATTATTCATAGCCACTTACATACCTCTCAATGTCGGGGAAGGTAATCAGCAGCATTCGTAGGAAATCCTATCAGAAAGAACAGAAAAGAAAAAGACAGACAGAAATGGCTTTTAGGGAGGTGTGAGAGGAAGGAAAAAGAGAAAGAGAAAGGCATACCTGATCTTAAGTCAGGAGTGCAAGGTTAAACAGTGTTTATGTTACATCCATTATTTAGTGGGAAGACTCACCCTGCCACTGAATAGACAGGAGCCAGGTGGAACACATCACAGATCACATATCACACACACACACACACACACACACACATACAAAACATACCGACTTCCAGGTGTGATCACTCAGCTTCATGGCCCCAGCAGAATAAACATAATGTGGCTGAGGTGCGGCCATCAATTTTAAATGCTGCTGGAGCATTTTCAACTATTGTAACAGAGTGGCAATCAAGCTTACATCAGCCTCCCAATTAATTTATGGAAATAACATTGTGCCTCAGAGACGGGTCATATTTAAACAGTTCAAACCTGAGCTCAATTTTTATTAACAGCCTCTCAAGTAACAGCGAATTTCTCAATTAAAGTTCCCCGTAGTACAACCTCACCTGAGACAAAATGAGTTGCCCGTGGTATTTCTTCACAAATACTCGGAAGAAGTCGATGAATTGTTTCTCTCCCACTTGACTGGCCAAGAACCTGAGCAGGAAGTAACCCTGGACAAAGAACAAGACAAATAAAGGCAACAAATCATGATCCATCAAGGACAAAACTGAGAAGCATTGCAGCAACATCTATAGATGGTCATTACAAGTGCTTTTCCAAGCACATCCAACAAGGACACAGGATTGTGTGTATATTTTTTTCTCTCTTTGTTTTTTCTCTCTTTGAAACTCTTTGTTTCCTTCCACCCCCCCCCCCACCTTCCCCACATGTATCCCACCTTGAGGTAGTGGACTTGCATGAAGGTTTTGTCAGGGTTGAGGGCATGTTTGACCGTGGAGGAGCCAGACTCACTGACCCGACCAGTGTTCTCCATGTTAGGTCTGCAGGAGGACAAACGGAGCAGATAAACAAAAATACACAGAAAGATAAGACGGGTTATAGGAAATGGGCACAGACGGAAAAAGACATCCAACACCCACAATATAAACAGGAAGGTGCACAGAAAACGACACAAGCAGAAACGCAAGAACAGAGCGGGATGGAGTTAAGAGAGACAAAGCATTTTTAGTTGCAGGTAAACTACAATTTCTACAGAGCACTGTCAGCAACACTAAATCCAGCCACTCAGCCGGCCCTCTCAATAGCGAACACACTGCCAAGTTGCCATACTTTGCCCGAGGCGGGCTGGAAATCAAGCTGCAGATTTATAATAGCGTGCTATACTGTTTATACGACCTCACAGTGCTGCGCTCTGACTTTACTGCCCATGACTCACTGAGCGAACATATAACACTTCCACAAAAAAAGCACCCCTGTCCACAGGCACAAAAGAGGCATGCTCGAGGTTACGCTTTCCCTGTCACACAGATACAAATCATCCCTTCAACCTGCATAAACACACATAAAACCAATAAAAGCCAAACAAACACAGCGCTGACGTGGGATGCTGTGCAATGATAGTTGCAGTTAGGTGGTATTGATCAGGTTGAGCAGATTAACTCAGTGTGCCAATAGGAAGGCCTTGAAGGATCACCCCCCCTGCCAAGTCGATACGCAGGCGCCTGGCCCACAAATCAATACACCCTTCATCACTGGCTAGCACTTTTCCACAGGGCCGCTCCATGACAGAGCTAGACACACACACACACACACACACACACACGCACACACACACACATATATGTAAACAAGGAGACCAAAAACACACATTCAAAATCTGATTCATGCATCTGATTCATTAAAATAAAGATTAGGGTTGAAGACAAGAGGAGGAGGAGTAGGTGTGGGAGAAAGCAAGGACAGCAGAAAGACGGGAATGTTTGGTTCGCTCTGTCGACTGAGAGAGGACACCATCAACTTCCTAAAATTTCTGAATTCGACTGGACTCTCTTGTGTGAGAAAAAAATACCAACACCTCTGAATTTGAATTGGGAAAATCCATTTCGGAAGCATCTTTGTAATGATGCTCAGTGTCCGTACATTAAAAGCTGCCTGTCAATATTATGAGCCAGACAGTGAACATATTAACAGTCAGATATGTTTGTAAAACACAGGCACAACCTGTATTGTAAAATAATCTGTCTTAGTTGTTGTAAAAAGGCTCTTTTACTTATTCTTTGTGTATCATGGCTACAATATCTCCCCCCTTTTTTTTTTTTTTTATCATGGAGTTTTTTTTAAAACTTGCTCCCTGTCCAGTCTCCTGCCCGTAGTGCCCATGTCTGTCTGTTGCTGCTGATAAGATGAAATTACTTTTTTTTTTTTTTTTTCTTTTTTTTTTTTTAGAAAGCAGGACATGCTGTATCCCTGGGAAATTGTGTGAGTGTGTTTAAATGTGTGTCAGACAGAGAAGCACAGAGAGAAAGAGGGACTGGGGCAAGAGACAAAAAACAACGACAGAACATGTATTTCCAGAAGAGAAAACTTGTCGGTTTCCTGGGTCAGAGATACTGGCGGCGCAGCGCTGAGAGGAAAAATGTTGATCCATCACTGCCGTGTTAGACAAAGGAACCCCACCCTTCCCGCTGTCCAGACCAGGGATGTATGGATGTGTAAATCTCTGGCTTTTGCCGTTTCTCTTTGTCAGAGATGATTTACTACAGCTTTAAGAGGAATCGCTGCTCGCTGCCTTGGAGAATCACACAATAGCTCAATGTATTGCAGAATAAACGGCGCTCTTATCTGACTCGTAGGCCATGTGTGTGAGAGGGAGGGTGTTTGTCTGTGTGTGTGTGGGGGGGGGGGGGGGGGGGAAGGATAAACCTAGGTGTGTCAGAGATTGAAAGAGAGAGAGAGAGAGAGAGAGAAAGAGAGAGAGAGAGAGAGGAAATCAGGAGCTATTACTGACAGAACTTAATGTAAAACGTACACGCACGTACGCACGCACGCACGCGCGCACACACACACACACACGGGTTTATGGCTCTGTAAGCCATATCCTGACAAATTACACTGTGTTGACTGTGGAAACCGGATAAGGTAGAGCAGTGCTCCCAGCAGCCCAGTGAATCAGCAGGGAGAATGGCGTCTGGCCCAGGCTGCCCTAAATAGAACTCATCTGAAATGGACAGATAAACACTGGCCACTTGGGCCCCTGCTGGATCAGGGGGTGTCCATTGTGACCCACTGAACTTGGAAAGGCACAATCTGCCATTCAGCCTTCATGTGTGTGTGCTATTGTGTGTGCGTATACCGGTGATGTTGAGCGTATCTCTCTGTACATCCCCTTGCGTTTCCTTTCCCTTCACCAGTACCTCTCTGACATTTCTCTCTCTGAAGGAGCTGCTCTGTTTGAATCCAAGTAAATATTCAGTCATTACTCATTCATTATTGGCAACTCTATACTTCATATTTGTTGAATTGTATGCTTGCCTGTATTGGCACATTTCACATTTTCAGCTGACGGGATGTGCACTGAAAGACTCATGGTTACACAGCAATTAATTGGATATAATTGAACACTGACTCTATTTTCCATATAATTAGTAGCAAATTACATAGTTCTTTCCACGAAACTTTTTGGAAATTATTCGGAAATTGCAAACCCATGAGATAAAGATCATTGCATTTGCAGAGTGAAAGCTGCACCCGACTCACAGTCATTAAGATAATGTGTGAGCAGGGCTCCTTTCTGCCTCAACATGCTTTAAGAGATGTGGGGATTGACAAATGGCTTTTCCGTGGGTGGCTTCAGCGATTACATGCTTTTTTGATACTAATGTGTTTTCAAGTAACATAATCAGTAAAAATGTACGCATTCATGCGTATGAGCATGTGTGTATGTGTGTACTTCTGTTTGCATTTTTCAGATTTTACTTATTGTGTTGTTGACGTAACCCCATCAGGTGCAGAGAAACCTAAACCTGATCCTCCTAATCACCCCCGTGTGTGTGTGTGTGTGTGTGTGTCTGCCTCATAGGGGAACACCCTCATAGACTGACTGCGAGACAGACACAGATCTCAAGTGCATGTTTAACCCTTTCACTCACACACTGCTTCTTATTTAAAGGTGTACTCCGTGTCACGATACCTCATTCTACCGTGCATGCCACAAATGTGAAACTTCATCATGCAACCACATACACTGGAGGTTATCAGCGTACGAGTATGAAAAGAGTAACATGTTTCCAAAAAACACTTAAATCCTTGAACCGCACAAGGACGATGCTTTAAAGTAAAACAAAAGTAAAGTGAATACTGAAGCTTTTCACAGCCTGATTGATTTGAACTCTAAACACTATTAATGCACAGTGTTTCCACTGTGTGAAGTCAACACATTGTTAGTGAAGTGACATAGTTAGAAGTTAGAGCCAAGCAGAAGTGCCACGAAATCAATAACACATGGATTTGCTGTCACGCTTTGCACGGTCTCTTACAACTGTGAATCTCCAGTGAAGGCTTTTTTTGTTAAAGGGAAGAGCTACAAAATGAAAGGTACAATGCTAACAAGTCAATTTCCAACCTTAAACAGTTAACTCCCAGTTGGGGTTTACACCCTGATGCCACTGTGCTTCCACCCTGGATAAAACAAACAGGGTGCGCCCCCACATTGTCAGGGTCAGATGAGGAGTTTGTGTGTTTGTGTGTACTTGCCATGCTTGTGTGCAAAGCTTTTCCAAGACATGACAGTACACCTGGATATACTTGCCACACCTGCCACACCTGTACCCCTGGAATGCATATACCTCACGCTCACGTGTGCGTCTGCATGTGCAGACACTAACAAAACATCTCCTAGTGTGTGAAAAGGAGAATCTCAAGAACTGGTAGAGTAACATAATTAAGTAGTTGCACTGACTGCTGTGGGAAGATGTTGCCTCCTCGGCACGTGTTGAACCTAGGGTGGTTTGCTAAACCTCTCCTGAAATTTAGGAATAAAACTAACAGTGGGGAAGACGATCAGCAGTCAGCAGTTGGGGTTGATTCCTTGTCAGTGTATAGTACTGTGCTCTGCTTTAAGCATACTTATTGAAGGTGCTGTTCCTCTACAGCAGCAACAACAGTGTGACAATTAAAACAGAGGTACTAGACCAAAAAACACACACACTCACCTAAGGATTTGAAGAGCCTCCTCTGAGTTCTGCAACTCATCAGAGAGTCGTCTCCACCTCAGCAGTGCCTTCAGGTCAGACTGTTCTGCTGTCTCTTGTAAGGAGAGCTGAAGGGAGACACATGGAGAGTTGTAAAGACGTGAGGGGTGGAGCAAAGAATTCAGGGGAGGGAAAATAAAATATGTTGAATTTCATCAGCAAAAACAGAAGGAGTCTGATTAAATCAAGAGTCAACTGCACACTGATATCGAGATACAAGCAGTCCTGCTGCTACCTCTGACACTGTGTCTTATTGAGTTTGGCAGCAATAACAGGTCTACTTTAGAGCCAAGCACACATCAAAAAGGTGACATGGTTGAACAGCGCAGACACAAGAAAAACATTTGTGTAACTCTAGACAGTCTGGGAAAGCAAGTAGGAGGATTAGATCTGTATTAGCTCATCAGCTCTGCAATTAAGCAAATGATTCATACCGAAGCTTCACCCTCAGCCTTTGTCCTGTTGTTGCCCTCCTTTTTCTGCAGGTATCCTTAATCAACATTATTAAAAGGAGATCAACTTCTTTGAAATGGCCGACTTTTTTAAGGAGTGGGTGACAGTAGTACTTTTTCACAACCCTGGTGTGGTTCAGCTCCTGCTTTGTAGGTCAGGGGATTTGGGTTTGACGGTATATTTTTTTTGTGGTTGGCACAGGAAATTCTGTACTCTTTCGGTTTTTTTGGCCAACAACTCTGACCTTTACGTTTCTTGTTTGTGCTATTTTTGCATTGGGGATTGCTGTTTTTATGAATTGTCTCATTGTGTTCTTGATGTGTGGTTTTACGACAGTAATGCAATGGCAACTCTACCTGACCAACCACAACAGTAACATTTGAGAATCCTGGCACATAAGTTGTGGAAATGGATGGTTGGAATGTCAACCTGTGTTCCCCTGAGTTGTTACATTATACCGGTGGTATGAAGGTGCTGGATCATACAGTAGAGAGGAACTACATAAACATCACTAATTTTGGTGTTTTTTCAGGCCTGCAGTTCATTTCCTTTGTTCCAATTCAGGGACTTATTTGATCAAATTTGCTCCTCGGTTTGTTTCTGTTAACACTGCAACATCCAAGAGCAGTCCAGAAGTTGTAAATAACTGCCATGTGTGAACAAACTGTTCTCTTTTTGTTTTTTTTGTCTTCTTCATTATGGAGCACCAGCAGCGTGTATTGTTAATTGTTTTCATTGTGTTTATGTGGTTACGTGGTTTCAACACAACTGGTCCAAACAGGCTTCGTGTGAATACACCCTTAATGATCCCTAAGGTTGTTTTTCATTGACTGATTATCAATTTATAATGAGAGCAAGTTGCTTACTTAGTGGGAACTTCCTCAAGATGGCCACGGCAAAATGGACTTCACAAGTTGGCTTAACTGGTGTATCTGAAAGCTCTCACCTGGGGTGACAGGCTTAAAAAGGCTACCATTAAGTTACTTTGATAAAATAGCTGCAGTAAACTGCAATCTTCAGGCATTGATTTTACTGTACTTGTTGTGCTTGGGCCCAGATAATGTCCTCTAGGTAGGTGGCAAAGCCCTCGCTGATCCATTCTTCAGTCCAGTCTCTGGCTCCGATAACCAGGCCGAACCAGGAGTGGGCGATCTCATGGCAGATCCTGGACCCGCACAGAGACAGGCCGTTCTCTCCAGAACCAAGACTCCCAGCACACAGCACACTCTGGGACAGGAAAATGATATGGGGGCTGGGGAAGACAAATGACAGAATGAACGAGGGAGATAAAGCCAGAAATAAATTATAAACGGAAGGAAAAGAGTGAGAAATGAGTGAGGCATAAAGGGGAACAAGGATTAGAAGATGGCAGAATAAAAAGGGTTTTAGAATCAAGGAGGTTCAGGAAGTGAGAGAAAAACTAGAAAATACAGAGGGCACAACAAGAGGTAACTGTGAGCAAAGAAACTGGACCACCCTCCAAAAAAGATCAAAGAGTTACTGAAGCAATGTTCCACACCTATAATTACAGAAAATTTGGCCTGAACATGCCATGTACAGTAAGACGAATCAACATGTGTGCGTACTAATGAGTATGGGAGTCACTCACTGCCAATCCCTTTTACCATCTTCTACATTATTATTATTATTAGCAAAGGGCAGCTTACTCATCAGATGTTCTTGCCAAATCTACCTGCCCTGTACAAACTTCAAGCAAGAACATCATGTTCCCTTGACTGAAATTGTGAACCAACAATGGGTAAAAAGTAAAGAAAACTAGCAATTCTGGGAGGTTTTGGCCAAATGTTACAGATGAATAAAAGGGTCCTTTTATAGTTACCACACCTCCTCTTTCACTTTGTTTCTAATCATGACTTCAAGGCAGTAATACATTTTAGGTTTAAAGAGGATTTACAAGTGTTATCATTTTTTTATATTAAAAGAAAATTATGAACCAAAGCCATCCACTTTTAAGATATTCATGGAGATGAAAATGAAAGGATGAAGAACTAATTTTGGTGTATGATTATATTTTCAAAATGATATACCTCTGTAATTATTGACTTTAGCAACTGACAAGTCTATTTAGAAATTAAGTTAATTTAGATTTACCTTGCTCTCTTCTCACGAGGAAATTAAACATATGGTTATGATATATTTTAAGATTATGTAAAATGTTCTTAAAATATAATAATGAAGTGTATGTAAATATAGCAACTGGTGTTTGCCTCTGTGCACAACATATCTGCAACATGCACGTACTAAAATACACCAAACTAAGAACATTAACCTTGCCTGTGTATTTGTGTGTTTTCAGCAAATAACAGCAGTTTATTGAAGCTCTGATCTAACAAAAATTGAAGAGGAAATAAATCAGCTAAAGAGGAATTGAATCAGCTAAATTCCAATGTAATGGTTGCAGATGCGAAATGGTAAATTCAATTCCATATAGAAAATGGTTTCCCTTGATGTCCATTTTAGAGTTAAGTTAAGAATTTGGTTTTACCTTCACCTTTTCACTTCAATCAGAGAAGTAACTTTTAGGTATGACTAGGGTTTGGAAAGTTTCTTTCACGACTGTTGCCAGCAGAGAACACCGAGCTGCTGAAATAGAATTGGCACCAGCACACACCACATTCAGATGAGTATCCAGGGTACAGTTTGCTGGTGAAATTATAGTGTAGTAAAAGGTTTTGAAGAAAGTCTGCAACATGTCGGAAGTTTTTCTTCAAATGGACCATTCTAAAACTTCAAAGAATTACATATTTGGGATTCTATCAGCTTTTGTTCACAAGAACTATATCCACAAAAAATGCACTGAATAGACTAAGAAGTCTGCAGCCATACCAGCGACTCTGTGAGGCACAGTGTTGCTCTAAATGCTAACATCATCATGCTAACATGCTCACAATGACAATGCTAACACGTGCAATGTTTACCATGTAAACCATCTTACTTCTGCATGCTAGTATGCGCTAATTAGCACTAAACTAACTAAGAAAGCAGCTGGTGGGGCTGATGGGAATGTCATTAGTTTAGCAAGTATTAGTCATAAACCAGAGTACATGATGAGTCGAAATTTTGATTTGATGATGGCACTATAGATGAAAAGCTAAGGAACCACCAAAGTTAATATAATTTGTCCTGAGGGGAATGTAAATGTGTGTACCAAATTTCATGGCAATTCTTTCCATAGTTGTTGAGATATTCCATTAAAAAACTACTTAAATGTCACCTATTGGTAACGCTACAATAAAATTTGAAGGTTACGATAGTGTAACCCCGGTTGTGTAAGCACAGGCGGAGCCCTGTACTGGACTCTATGGGTAATACTCTCCTCCACCAGCACACATTACTCACTGAAACGTTGCACAAGTGTAGCCGACCCATCATGACATGCCTACCCGAATTGGTGAGGACACCACAGTATGTAAGGCAGCACACACAGCCATCCGCTATCCTACACCCGCTTCAGCAAGCGGCGTAGGAGCGACAGGGTGCCATTGTTAGAGGGCTGCACCTATGCCAAACTAAAACCCTATATTAAACGAGGGTTACAATATTGTAACCTTCATTGTAACTCACAAAAGCCCCGCCCTCTACTGGACTCTATGGGTACAGTAGATGGAGTGCTGCTGCGACATGACAAAAACCCAACCAGACTGATCCTGACCAGCTAAGGGGCCACCTACTTCTTTCTAACCTTGGCCGCCACAGCAGAGAAGGTAGGGGGCCAAAACCACTTAGTACACAACTGAACTGGGTAGAGCCATGGCCTAACCTTGCACGGGTCAAAAAGATAAGCAGCAGACACCCTGCACACTGGTCATCAAGGAGCATGGGAACATGTCGGTGTATCAATCCTAGAGGGAAAAGGGGGTGGACCTCAACGGCGCTGATCTGGAGCTCCGGTTCGTTGATCTGGAGCTCCGGTTCGTTGTCATCGCAGGCAAAGCGTCGCAAGCAAAGCGTCGCAGGCAAAGCGTCGCAGGCAAAGCGTCGCAGGCAAAGGCAGATGAAGATCTGTCCCATCAATGAGGCCAGGAGATGACGGGAACTTACGAGGTTCTTCAAGCTGGGACTCACTAACATTGCCCCGTGCACTGCATGGCTCAAAGGACACCAAAGTTACATCTGCCATTTTAAATGGTCTTGTAGTTTGAACCACATCCATTTAATTTGTGATGTTATACAGCATCTGTATAGAACCCTCATAATGTAGACTCCCAGCTTCACAGAGACACAGGAATACAGGACATGTGATTTTTAACCATAAGAACGGGTAGACGGGTAGAACAGGACCAATAGGAGGAGTACTCTGTCAAAGTCAAGGTCATAGCTGAAGATTGTTCTGGAGCTTTCTTTGCTTCTGTCTTATGTAACAGGCTCTGTGCGCTCTGAGGGGCTTAGAGCCGAGTGTGCGTGAGAGGCAGGCCATTCTTCAAAAGAAGAATGGGTGAGGGGGTCACAGAGGTGCTAATGAATGGTCTCTCTCTCTCTCCTGGCCCATAAAACAACACCGGATTGTCTAGAGCTCCCCTCACGCTGTCTCGATCTTAAGTGTCCCAGCCACTATTGACCTGACGATGGGAAGAGAATTTATTGGCAAACTGCATGTATTTTTCAAAGGGTCATACCACCCTACTACGGTGTCAAATATGTTAAAGATGCCTCTACATTACAGAAGAAAGGTCTCCTCTCTGTTTCACTTCATTCTAGTCCGCTTCCTAAAGCATCGTCAATATATGTTAACTACACGTGAACATCATGTAGTGATAAAACCACACAATGCAGTGTTTGCATCTAAAACGCCATAAAGAGTGGTTGTACCTCTGCAGAGACACAGTTGCGACAATCCCGTCACCTGTGGGATTGACAGTCTACTAAAATGAGCTGCTCTCATTAAGGAGAGATTAGCATCTTAACACAGCAGTTGACAGAGACGCTCTTTTTCTTTTCTTGCCATAACCTAATTACGGTGACAAGTCAATTATGAATGAAAACATGGAGTTAAGACATAGGTTAGTCCGGGTCTGCCAGACAGTCTATTTTGGAGGAAAACAAAATTGGATATCTGAGCAACACAAATGCTCTGTATTTCCCCTGAGGATTGTTTTATCAGATAGAAGGCCGGCTATTGGCTTTTGTTACTTAGGAACATGTCGACATCATACAAAAGGGTCTTAGGGGCATCATTTCCGAGACAGCATCTCAAACCTAATCCTGTGTTTTTTCCTGATTACACAAACAAAAGCTCTCACTGGAGCAGGGGATGCTAACATTAGCCTTATGAGTTTCTTTGTAGCCTAATCTTATTCCCCCACAATTGGATAAGCACGCCTTTGTTGTCAGTTCCAGCAGTGCGTTATATATGCGTGCGTCTGTGTGTGTGAGCGAGTGTGAAACACAAAGACAGCCTTTCAGAGACGGCGCTTGCACATGCTCCTGTGAGGGATGCGGAATCCATCACTACAGTGATAAATAGTGTCATCCCACCATGGTGGGGGTGAATAAACAACAGCATCTTTCACATTCACTGATACACTGAATGACATTAGTTGACATCAGGGACCTGTCAGGGAGACATGCATGAAAAAACGTCTCTCACCCACACACACACACATAGATGCATATGTGACATATGGATACACCTTTCATCTCCTCTGTAGGTCTGAATCTGCTGAGGGCATGAAACTGCATCCCTGATTAACATTCAACAGTTTCCGTGCTTTATTCAAAATAAGATATTAAGACATTCATGTGTAAGCAAATTCTGTCTTCATTGCACAATGTGCTTCCAAATTCTCTGTTTTGCAAATGCAAATGTGACTCACAAGACAAATGATTTACTAAAGCTGCGAATCAAACCAACAATTACAATCAATCAAGCTTTAAGTGATAGTAGTGCAACTCCCAGAAACTGTGTTACATCATAGTCATACAACTTCCACCCCTCTACGTCTTTACATCACACACACTTGTTGACAAAACACTTACAAATGGGAACATTTTCAGATTTATTTTTTAGCCGTTGATGTTGATATTAATTTAAGTCAATATTGATTGCCTAAGAACAATTCCTGTGAAATTGAAACACAGATTTTGCGGTGTTGTTTGGATGCATTTAACAAATTATGCAATAACTAGACTCTACTGGAAGCCCAGTGTTGCCCTTCACTTTCAATATTCCTCCTTTTACTTGTGTTACTGACTTCTTACAGACGGGGAATCTGATGACGAGAATCCACATGA